CTTCCCAGCTCAGGAAGACTCGAAGGTCGACTCCGATGGGATAGTCCGTTTATGGAATGGAGCAGGGAGAAGAGAAAGCCCAGGTGGGAGCTGGAAGAAAAGGGGCTGGAGGCTCCAGGTCCTCAGGGCCCTCAGGTGCAATGAGCTGAAGTCTCATTACCGTCGGTGGGACCCTTGCTGTCACTGTCAGGCCAGGAAGATGCCCGGGCGCAGGGGGACCCAGACCTCTCGCGGGTGCGCAGGAACAAGGGCAGGCAGCCGGGCGGAGAGCTTCCAGTTTGCTTATATTTGAACCCAAATGAGGTAATTTGTTAATTGTGGGTGGTGCCTATCTGCCTGTCTGCCATATTATTTTCTGTGTGCACACGATCTTTTTTAACTTCAAATGTTTTTAATTTTAAAAAGTTTTGTTTTTTGAGACAGTCTTGCTCTGTCACCCAGGCTAGAGTGCAGTGGCACAATCATGGCTCACTGTACCCTCGACCTCCTGGGCTCAAGTCATCTTCCCACGTAGCTGGGACTACAGGTGAGTGCCACCATGCCCAGTTTTTAAAATATATATATATGCGTGTATTACATATACATGTGTATAATAGATACACACATACACACACACATATAACATATACATGTGTGTGTGCGTGTATATATATATGTTTTTTTTTTTTCTTTTTTTGGTGGAGACCAGGTTTTGCCAAGTTGCCCAGGCTGGTCTCGAACTCCTGGGCTCAAGTGATTCCCCCGCCTCAGTCTTCCAAAGTGCTGGGACTACAGGTGTGAACCACTGTACCCGGCCTTGAATGTTTTAAATGACGCTTGGCTGGGAAGGTCCAGGTTTGGCTTGGAGGCACCAGTAGGAGACAGGACCAGGTAGGAGAAGAGCAGGTGAATGAGGTGGGGAAGGGTTGGGCCAAGGAGGCAGGGGAGGGAGGAGTTAATGAGTTAGGAGCAGGGTCAGAGAATGCTCTGGGGTCTTGGTGGCCCAGGGGCTCTCTCTTGTCCAAGGCGCCATCTGTGTCCCACCCATCGTTTTTCCTCTCCAGCCCCCTGCTTTAGGTAGCTGTAGACCCTGGAAGTTGAGGAGACAAAGAATAGTTATTTTCTGCATCTCCTGGAAGCTCCTTTAATGTTGGAAATCCACTGTCCCCTGGGACTGGCAGGATGAAAGGGCTGGGAGAGGGAGGGAGCTGGCCAGAGGAGCTGGTGTGGGAGGGCAAGTCCATGATGCAGACGCTGAGCAGCCCTGGGCGTGTTCGATGCCTCCCCATGCCTCCCGGCAGCTTCTGCTCCAGCAGGACCAAGGTCCTGGCTCTACTGCATAGTGAGGTGTGAAAACCCCAGCCTAGAAAGAACCCCCTGGCAGAGACGAGAATATTTCAGAGTCCTTGGTTAAGCCCGGATAACTAGGTCTGCAGGAAGGAGTAGCACCGAGTCACGATCTTGAACCCCAGTGGTCCCAGAGCAGCCAGCACCTTCCCACCGGTGTGAGCCAGCGGCAAGGACTCTGCCCCGACCCGGCTCCTGGAGCTGCCCTTGGGAGCCGGCTGGACCTCCCTGAAGGGCCCTCTCTGTTCTCCGTGGGCCCTGGGGACGTCACCATCAAACTGCAAACATAGACATGTTCTGGCCCAGCAATTTGGCTTGCAAGAACGTCTCCTACAGGAATTCTTTTGCATGTGGTCCAAGACCCACATATAGGGCTGTGGTATCAGCCGAAAATCGAATCAGCCTGGATGCTGTCAACAGGCCCAACACGGTGGGGCACGTGAATACCATGGACGAGCTTGTGCCAGCTGCACTGTTCCACGTGGAACTGACTCCAAGAGGCGCTGTGGTCACTTGGCGAAAGGGAGTTGCTGCCTGTGTGTCCAGCATGCTGTCAGTTATGCTTGAGGAGGCGGGGCTCAGATCACTTATGCAGGAAACCATGACATGAACTCTCTGGTGAGGGTGTCCAGGACGAGGAGCTCTGAGGCAAACAGGCTTCTTCTCTGTTCCTTTCCTCCGGTGCCTTCTGCACGTTGTGCCAAGAGGGAACATCCTCTCCTCCAGGTACAACTAAACACACTCCGCAAGGTGCCCAGCGGGTCTGGGTTGCAGCCATCAGACGCTGGCCCTGGAACTCCTGCCGGCACCTGGAGAGCCCGCAAACCTGGCCTGTTGACCATCAAGGAGCGTGTGTCCCTCGGGGCATCGCAGATGGATGTGTTTTGGCAAAACTGCACAAAACGTCACATGATGCTGCTGTAATTGGGTGGACAGAGAACCGGGCACTAAAGCTGGGATGTCCACATGTGGTGTTTGTGTTAAGAAGATAATTGGCCGGGCGCGGTGGCTCAAGCCTGTAATCCCAGCACTTTGGGAGGCCGAGACGGGTGGATCACGAGGTCAGGAGATCGAGACCATCCTGGCTAACACGGTGAAACCCTGTCTCTACTAAAAAATACAAAAAACTAGCCGGGCGCGGTGGCAGACGCCTGTAGTCCCAGCTACTCGGGAGGCTGAGGCAGGAGAATGGCGTGAACCCGGGAGGCGGAGCTTGCAGTGAGCTGAGATCCGGCCACTGCACTCCAGCCTGGGCGACAGCTGTCTCTTATACACATCTAGATGTGTATAAGAGACAGGTCACATGATGCTGCTGTAATTGGGTGGACAGAGAACCGGGCACTAAAGCTGGGATGTCCACATGTGGTGTTTGTGTTAAGAAGATAATTGGCCGGGCGCGGTGGCTCAAGCCTGTAATCCCAGCACTTTGGGAGGCCGAGACGGGTGGATCACGAGGTCAGGAGATCGAGACCATCCTGGCTAACACGGTGAAACCCTGTCTCTACTAAAAAATAAAAAAAAAAAAAAAAAAAATAGCTGGGCATGGTGGTGCACACCTGTGGTCTCAGTTACTTGGGGGGTTGAGGGGGAGAGGATTGCTTGAGCCCAGGAGGTCGAGGCTGTAGTGAGCCGAGATCGCACCACTGCACTCCAGACAGGGTGACAGAGTGACAGACTGTTTTTTTAAAAAAAGATAATTGTTATACTTTTACTCAATAAAACAAAGGGTTTCATTCTCCCTGGGCTCTTGACGAGTCATCTCTTCTTCCACCAGCAAAACGGGGAGAGGGAGGACGACAGCCACGTCTGAGGCTCGCCGTACAGCCTGGTCTCTCCATTTGGGGCAACTCCCCATTTTCGGGGGTGGGGGGCATTAGCACCCTGACCTTTTGCTCCTGCAGCAAGTCTGGGCCTCTGGGCATTGCTGTTTGCGATTTATGGGCACCTGGCACAGAGCAGGTGCTGGATGCACATTTACTGACCACATCCCCATGCCATTGGCCTTCTGGTATCCTAGAAGCGAGACTCTCCCCCAGCTGTGCCCGGAAGCCTCAGCAGCACTCCCTCCTCCAGGCCACAGGCAGTGGGCACTGTGTTCATCCCCATCCTACAGAGGAGGGAACTCACGGCAGGAGGGGGAGGAATGGGGGCGGGGCCAGATGGTAAATATTTTAGGTTTTGTGGGTCAACTCTGAGGATAATATGCAAATGAGCAGGTGCAGCTGTGGGGTTTTGTTTTTTTTTTAATCATTTTTATTTCTTGAGAGACAGGGTCTCGCTCTGTCACCCAGGCTAGAGTACAGTGGCACAATCACAGCTTACTGTAGCCTCAACCTCCCAGACTCAAGTAATTGTCTCGCCTCAGCCTCCTGAGCAGCTGAGCCCACAGGAGCACACCACTGCACCCAGCTAATTTGTCCATTTTTTTTTTTTTTTTTTTTGCAGAGATGAGGTCTCTGTATGTTGCCCAGGCTGGTCTCGCACTCCTGGGCTCAAGCGATCCTCCCGCCTTGGCCTCCTAATGTGCTGGGATGACTCATGTTCTAATACAACTTTCCTTGTGGTGTGGGCACCAAAATCTGAACTACACATGATTATCACGTATCACGCAACATTCTTCTTCTTTTGATATAACAAGGAGGTGAAATCACAGGGGGTTGAATAAGTCAGAGGTTAAGCAACCAGCCCCAAATAACCCGATTCCCCTCCACCAGCAGACCATGCACCCCCGAGAGAGATGCCTTTGCTGGGGAAGAAGCGGGGAGGAAGAGAACTAGGGCCCAGAGCGGGGACACCATCCACGCGTGACCCAGGCCCTTCCAAGCCCGCGGCAGGCACCTGCCTTCGTGCCCAGCCCCTTCCTGGTGCTGCCTTCTCTCCAGATGCTCTCTCCTTTGCCTTCTCTTTCCAGGAGCCCGGGCACACTTCTTAATGGCTCCTGGGGACCAGGAGATGGAAAGGAGAGGGCAAAGGTCATGCTGGAGGTGGAAAGAGGTTCAGGCAAGGGTGGCCCACCCTAGGGCTTGGCCTGTCCTCTGGTCAGCCCCTACCCCCGCTGCAGACTCCCCCTACCTTGGCTGCCAGCACAGCTCAGCACAGCCCAATCTTTCCCGAGGCTTCAAGAGCCCCAAAGTGCTGGGCATCCAGCCAGAGGCCATCGTGGGCCTCCCCATTCCCCTGGGCTTGCCCCTGCATCTCCGCGTTTGGTCACAGGCGCTGTTCCTCCGAACCTGGAAGCTCTAAACCGACAGCCCATCTTTTTCCTTTATTCCCATGCGAGAGCCACACCTGCCCACTCGGTTTCAGGTCAGTTCCACCACGGATGCTGCAGTGGGAAAGTCAGCGTCCTTTCCAGGGACGGCCCCACTAGGCACAGACCCTCAAGGCCCTGCGGCCCCAGATGGGAGGGCTGTCCCCGCACAGCAGAGGATATTTTCTGTGAGCTCACCGTGGTTTGCGGCAACCACCATAGCACCTCTGCCTACAGAGCCCTCATCCGGTCTCCCACTGCCTGCCGTCCCCACCCCCAACCACGTGGTCTGTCCCAGGCAGCCTCTAGGACCAGGTGGGGGTTTCCACAGGGACCTAGCCAAACCCACTCTAGGAAGAGCCTCTGGGGCCCCGGGGAGGCGGGAGGGAGGGGCATTCAAGGGGGGGGTCTGGGGAGAGCCCACCTTGCTCTTCTCCTGCTGCAGCTCGATCTGGATGTCTGTGAGCTTGGCTCGAAGCTCCTCGTTGGCCGCCTGCAGCGCCGCGAGGGCCTCCGCCTTGTCCCCCTTGGCCCGGCTGCCCATGCCTCTCTTGGACATGGTGAGGCTGGATGGCCGGGGGGATGCCCAGGGGCAGGGTGCTCTGGCTGGGCTGGGCTGGGGGTGGCTGGGCTGTCCACGCCAAGCTCCCAGCAGGTGTCACCCGGGCTGCCGCTGTGCTACATCTTCTCATTCACCTGGAGGGAAAGCACACCGGGTGAGCAGCCCCTCCGGAGCCTCGGCCTGGAGCTCGGGGGCTCGTGTGCGAGGGGGGCACACGGACCCCCTATCTGCCCTCATCCCAGCGCTGAGGATGCCACCTGCACTACGCAGGCCAGGGAACCAGCCCCAGACAGCAGAGCCCATCGGCCCGCCATATGGTGCCCCCAAACAGCGACCCCACATCTAAGAGCGCATCCCTGTGCCTAGCATGGGATGAACACTCAGCACAGGCGAATTCTTTCCCCCTTCAGAATCAGAGAGTGAGGGAGTGGGCACCCAGCTTCGAACTCGGAATTCTGTACATGACTGTGAGGCCACACTGCGGCAATAGTGAGTATAAACCATGAGTTCTCCAACAGCAGAGGGACCCCGTGACCGGGCTCCTCCAGAGACCTGAAAGCTGCACCCAGGAAATGCCCAGCAGTACTGAAAGCAGGAACTGGAACAGAAGCGCATGCCCAGCTCACAGCAGCACAATCCAGGTAGCCGCACAGTGGAGGCAACCGGCGTCCATCAACAGATGAGTGGCTACACAAAACACAGAATATCCACGTAATAGAATATGATCCAGCTGTAACCAGGAGGGAGATTCGGACACACGCTACGACAGCAGGATCCCCGAAGAGATTAGGCTGGGTGAAATGAGCCGGTCACAGAAGGATAAATCCCGCATGATTTCACATATATATTCGGGATCTATAGTCAGCAAACCCGGGAACAAAGTAGAATGGTGGCTGCCAGGGGCTGCCAGGAAAGGGAACGGGAGCTACTGTTTAATGGAGATGGATTTTCTTTCTGTTTTTGGAGCTAGGGTCTGGCTCTGTGTCTCATCAAGGGGAGTGGCTGTAAATACACAGGAAGCTTCACTCCCTCGCCCACTACTTGCCTCCTGCTGTGTGGCCCAGCTTCGAACAGGCCACGGACAGGTACTGATCCATGGCCAGGCACCAGGGACCTGGTGTAGGCAACCAGTGATCTCCACTGGTCACAGCAAGTCCTCCAGGTTCAACCCCAGGGAAGCTGCTCACTGTCTAAGAAGCGGTGATTGGACGAGGCTAGTGGGATCCTCACAACTTCCTTCTGTGCTGCCAGGCACCTCCCCAGCTGTCCCTCTCCCTCAGAGGCTCCCCCCTACAAGCTACTCCTCTCCTCCAATTGCTCCACCCCTCCAGCTGCTCCTTTCTCCCTCTGATGTTCCTCTCTGGCAGCTGCTTCTCTATCCCAGCTCCTATCCCAGATGTTCCTCTTGGCTGCTGAGAGGGGCAAGGACCCCTGGTGTTCCTAACAGGTCCACTGGGCTCCTCTGTGGCCCTCCTGCTCCTGGGGCCTCCATCTCCACCATGACCAGCTTTCCCTCTTATCCTTGTTTACCTTCTGCTCTTGTCACCTGTTATAGGGCAGTGAAGGCAGCCAGGATGGAAGGGAGAAGCAGGCAGATCAAACATGGCATCTTTCCCGGTGAACACAGCCCCCATCCCCCCAACTCCTGCTCCCATTTCCTGATGATCACAGGCCCATCCCACACCCGCATCTCCTCTCCCAGTGAACTTCCCCCCACCCCACTCCCGCGTCTCCTCTCCTGGTGAACACAGGCCACCATCACTCCTGCATCTCTTCTCCAGCCTGGTGAACACAGCCCTCGCCCTCCCCCTACTCCTGTGTCTGTCTCCAGCCTCCTATTTATCAGTTCATAGGACCCTGGGAGGGAGACTTGGATATGGGTCCTGCAGTTTGATGAAGGCCAAGCTGTGTGGGTGTGGGGCTCAGAGACCAGCGGAGGTGGCAGGGCGGGCAGGTGGGAGGGCCACAGGGCAGCCAGGTGGGCTTCCAGGGGCGAGCGAAGATGGCCTCACAGAGGGAGAGTGAAAGGAGGGTCGGAGGCGACCCACCGGGAGGCGATGCAGACACCAAGGAACCACGAGGAGCCTGCGTGGCTGAAAGGTGAACTGGGAAGATGCTGGGCATGTCTCACCCTGCAGGGCCACCGGCCTCCACCTGGACAGGGAGAAGGGCCCAGCAGGGTGGATGTCAGCCCTGCACATGTGAGGCGGGGACTGAAGGGACCAGGCTCGGGCAGATGGCAAAGTTGGAAGCTGTCATGGGGTACAGAGGGAGGAAAGTGCCCTCAGGATGCCACTGCAGACCGAGGGGATGGACCCATGGACGGGGCTGAGGCTGTGCCCACGTCGCCCCGCGGACGTCACCAGAGGCATCTTCATTTACAAAGGAGACGGTGCTCACCGGGCCCAGCACGCTGCCTCTCTCCCCTTTCCGGCTCCGTCCTAAGGACAAAACCCCAGGCAGCTTGGGAAAGGCCTGAGAAGTGTGCAAGAAGAGGGGCTTGAGGAGGAGGAGGAAAGGGGGCTTGGCTGGCCTTGCTGCTGAGAATGAGAGAACATCGGGTGGGCACGGACTCCTAGAGATGGGCTAGGAGGTTCTGAAGGTGTTTTGCTGTCTCTTGATAACAAGCTGCTCTAAAGAGAGACACCGGCTGACCCTTAAGTGTTTTAGTGACTCCTGGCCCCAACCCCATGAGCGTCAGGTGGGCTCCTGTGGACTCCAGAACTGTGAGCCCACCTCCCACTGTCCTCCCTGGGGACCCTCCAGGGGGATGAAGACCCCACTGGGGGAGGGCCGGGTCCTGTCCTGTGCACTCGGGTTCTCTGCCACCACAGGTGACTGTTCTGGTAAACTTCCCACCTCCAATAACACATTCCCACCTCCATTCAAGTCCTCTTAGACAGGGCTCCGGCTTCCTCTGGGCGGCAGCTCCTTTCCAGGACCCAGCCCCGGGCCCCCACTGCCCTCTCCTGGCTGTAGCACCACTCTGTGCAGTGCTCACTGACAGCGGCAGAACCTCGCTCCCATCCGCTGTCATAGGGCATTGAGCCTTTGAGGAAAAGGGAAAATAAAATCTGGCTGCCAGACAGTTGTCATTCCCATAGCTTTGCTATTGAAAATAGATGAAGCAGTTTTTGAAAGAGAATCCGTTGTAAAGGGTCATGGCTGCTAATACACAAGGGTCGATATCTAGACCCATCCCAGGAGCTAATTTCTGATTAACCCACTGTTTGTAGCATTTAGTTAATTTTGTTTTGGGGAGACTTCAGCGGTGGGGCTGGGGGAGGGGGTCCTTGCTCTGTCGCCCAGGCTGGAGAGCAGCAGTGCAATCACGGCTCGCTGTAACCTCAACTTCCTGGGCTCAAGCAATCCTCCCGCCTCAGCCTCCCACGGATGGATTTCCAATTTGGAGGAGGGAAAGTGCGAAAGTGTAGAAAGTTAAAATCTTGTCTACATTGCAGAAAAACTCCCCAGACTGGCCTCCCTCCTCCCGTCCCAGGCCTGGGACTGCCCAGCTCCTCCGAACGGCTTCAAGCTCACTCTGGGTCCCGCACTGGCTACCCTGGTCTGAGAGCTTTCATCGGCATCTCCCTAGAGGCAGAGTTGATATTTTTCTCTAGCACCAATCTGGGAACTGATACGGTAACTATGTTGAGTTTATTCCTTATGAAATGAGCAGGGATGGTGTGAATCTCCCCCAAGTGCTGAGGCTCGGGCACCCCAGAAGTGAAAAGCACCTGGCACAGTGCTTGGTATGTAGGAGGCATGGGATGAACTGTGTTAGCCAGTGGCCTGCACAAGCTCATCTTCCCCCTGCAGGGATGGACTGATCACGACCTCTCCAGGCAGCCGTTTCCGTGGCTGGTCGTTTCCGTGGCTGGTCATTTCCGTGGCTGGTCGTTTCCGTGGCTGATCATTTCCGTGGCTGGTCAGCTAGGCTGCGAAACAGTTGATGCTCCGGAGGTGCCAAAGCTAGTTTCCCACTGATTTGCATCTTCCTTCTTCCTTCCCGCCCAGGAGCACAGCTGGGGTTCCTCACGCAGAGAGAACGGGGCGCACGGCTGCGGTTCCTCATGCAGAGAGAACAGGGCTTTCAAGTGTCGCCTCACATCCTAAAGCGAAATGATATTGGGGTGGCTGGGAGGCTCCGCACCTTGCATGATCATAGCCTCGGTAAACGGAGGTATCTCCTTTCCCCACAAGGACACTGCTGCTGTTGGCAGGAGACAGAGCTCATAGCTGCTGGGGGGCTGTGGCCTGTGCTCCAGCCCTGGGGTGGCTGCTGGGTTTCATGAGCTCTTCTGTCCACCCTCCCATCTCTCATAAGGAACCAGGGGTGTAGAGAATCATCCAGTCTCAAGCATGTGTGTAAGGTTGTTCTGGTCAATACGTCTTCTCACGGCCTTCCTGACACTCGGGAGGCAGACAGGGTGACTAGAGAGAGACCCAAAGGCTGCGAGAGTAGGAGATCTAGCTGGTGGCAGCCCAGACGCCCCCACCTTGGGCGTGCCAGGGGCTTCAGCCATGTAGGAGGTCCAGCCAGCTCATGACAAGGGCTGGGCCCCATGTGGCACACTCAGCACTGAGTCCCAGACCACGGCGTCCTGGCTCGAGGAGACCCACAGTTCCCTGACAGGGTGGGAGTGGGTCTGAGGGGCCTGTGTGGGGGTCTGCGAGGGCAGCACATTGTGAGACGCTCATGAGGCGGTCCAGTCACAGCTGCATCTGCCCTGGGGAGCCTGGATCAGCCCCAGGGCAGGAGCCAGGAGGGGTCAGGGTGGGTGCAAGCTCAGAGCAGACACCTCCTACATCACTGTACCAGCCCCTCACCACGATGGGGTCACAGGACAGCTGGGGTCAGGGCTGTCCCTTCACTGGGAATCACAGCAACGCAGCGTGAATCTCAGATGCGGACGAGCCCTCCAGACACTGTGGACTCTGCTCATGCCGACCATCACCAGGGCGAGCACGGGAGCTGCAGACGGACAGCACGGCAG